ACGACGAGGAGGACGACGAGGAGGAGGAGGACGAGGAGGCGCTGCTTGAGGACGAAGACGAGGAGCCACCTCCTGCTCAGGCGTTGGGCCAGGCCGCGCAGCCGCCTCCGGAGCCCCCGGAGGCGTCAGCCATGGAGGCCGAGCCCGAATCTTCCGACGCACCGGCGGAGGCCACGGCTGGGTCAGGTGGGGTAAACGGTGGTGAAGAGCATGACACCGGCAAGGGGGAGGAAGACGGGCCGGAGGAACGCAGCGGGGATGAGACGCCGGGATCCGAGGCACCGGGTGACAAGGCCACAGAAGAACAAGGTGAGGAACTTGCAGCAGAGCCAGGTTCCAACCCAGCCTGGTGCGTCTCTCTGATCCAGCACCCCACCCTGCACCGCGCCATCTGATTCCTTGTTTCCACTTGCCGGAAAGTGCACGGGTTCCGTGGCTGTTTGATGGGATTCCCCAGGGAACGTGGTTTTCATCCACTGCCCATGTTTTTTGAGGGTTTGGGTGCCTTGTTGCTCTCCTGTTTGCAGGAGGGAGGTTTCTGCCTAACGTGGTTTCTTGGTGTTAGTGGATGGAAGTGTGTGGTGTGGCATGCGTGTGTGCCTATGTCTGTGTCTGTGTGTACTTTGGAGCTACCTGTGGATCAGTCTTCTGGTGCTTCCTCTTTAGCTGAATACCTTTAGCAGAAAATGTAGTGAGAAATTGGCGATCTGCAGGTACCAGTTAGACGCTTAGGGCTTCGACCTATCTGACAGTTAATTTCTTACAGTGAGAATGTTAAGCAGTAAACACTCTGTGATGTGTTTTTCTGTCAAACTCCCGTTAGAGCTTAAGCCTTACAGAGACTGGGTAGCTAACCTTGCTCCTTCCTGCTTGGCGGTAGTAGACGGTGTCTAGTATGAGCCTATTGCGTTTAATCATTAACTAGCAAAGAAAAAGTCTTAGTAACTTTTAGTAGCATGTTAGTTGCTTGAATGAGGCTTTTTTACCTTGTCCCTCTTGTTTTTATATCTTAATTCTCCTTCCAAGTCAGTAAATGGGCGTATGTTTAGACTTACTCTACACTGGTGCCTTTACGGCTCTTGACTTCCTGAGCTGAAATGGTTGAGGGGTTTCTAGTGGGTCAGTTGAGTAACCTTGTGGTAGAAAATGTGTAGAGACTTCCCCTGGGAGTTAATGACCTTTCTCCTTTCTTTTGAAATGCTTGCCTGGTTAGAGCTAATCCATAGTGTCTGACTGTCAGGGGAAGGAGAGCTGCTTCCAAGTCTTACTTCCAAGGGGATTGCCTTAAGTTTTTTATATCTTTTTTTTTTTGTTTTTTTTTTTAAGGCTGTTAGTGTCATGTAGTTGGAATCTATTTTACAATGATTGAATACAAAGTATAGTGTTTGGGGGGGTTGTTGTGTCTTATGTCCTGGAACAAAATTCCTATTACATAACCATTAACTTGTGTGTATCCTAAATAGCAGATAAAAAGCATTCACAGATAAGAGAGTACTTTAGAGGAATTGTTGAAGAAGACTTTTTAAGCTTCAAAACAAAAGCCTAAGGGAAAAAGAAAACGCTATGTGTTACTCCTTGTAAAGAATGCTGCTGTCAGGCTTAGTGGCACATGCATTCAGTCCCAGCACTTGGGAAGCAGAAGCAGGCAGATCTCTAAGTTGAGGCCATCCTGGTCTACATTGTGAGTTCTAGGACAGCCAGAGTTACATAGTGAGACCCTGTCTAGAAAAAAAAAGAAAAGAAAAAAAGAATGTTGCTAAATATCCACCACCACCTTCTTGCCCCAAATTCCATGAAGTGAAGCTTTGGTGTTATTTATGGTTCACTTGTGACTTACTGATTTGCACTGGTAGCTTTCAATTAAAATACCTGTTAAAAATTCAGCTGCCATTGTGTGGCTGTGCATTTTAATGCAGAAAAGTAGTCTCTTAAAGAAAATATAAGCCTTCTGTTCCATATAGCTGTTGAAAGGCATTAGAAAATAGTCATTAAGTACTTGCCATAAATACAAATCTGATGAGAATTGAAATTCACCTGTGAAGGTTTTCAAACAACTTCAGGGATATTTTCCTTTCTTATTAGTGGGGAGATCTGCCATGTTGGCTTGAATGAAGTAGATAAATTTAGAATGGAAAAATTGCCCAACTTTTTCTATTTCTTGACTGTATTTAGCTCACTGTGCCCCTCACCTTAACCAATGAAAAGATAATTGGAAATAAACCATTACATACATACATACATACATACATACATGGAACACTTTGAATCAGATACCCTCAATTTCCCATATTGGTTAACTCAGAGCATACATACATACATACATACATACATACTAGGAACACTTTGAATCAGATACCCTCAATTTCCCATATTGGTTAACTCAGATTCTCTTAGTTCTGAGCTTATTCTCTGCTCCAGTATAAAAACTGCTGATTTTCTTTCCCTCCCTTTTGTAGGAGATGACCAGGATAGTGAAAAGTCAAAACCAGCAGGCTCAGATGGTGAGCGGCGGGGGGTAAAGAGACAGCGGGATGAGAAGGATGAACATGGCCGAGCTTACTATGAATTCCGAGAGGAGGCTTACCACAGCCGGTGAGGGAAACACTCCCTTGATGGGAATGTCTGCTCTGCTTTTGGTATTACTGGTGTTGATTGGACAGTCTGGAAGGAGGGGTGGATTGAAAAATGCAATAGGTCTTTGTAGGCATAAAATTTAGAGTAAATAAGTCTGTGATGGAAACTCCTATTTTTTTTTTCTCATTGAATGAAAGAAGCTGTCTGCTGGAATTTGATAATTCACTGATACTTTAAAATGGGCAGTGCCACACAAATAACCTCAAAGAAAGTAGCTTTGGGTATATTGCATTTGCTCTCCTCTCCTTACCTGTAGCTCGAAGTCCCCACCACCTCCAGAAGAGGAAGCAAAAGATGAAGAGGAGGATCAGACACTTGTGAACCTGGACACGTGTATGTATAATACAAATAATTTGTTTTTTGAGAATAGGGCCTTGCTATATATTCCAGGCCCTCTTCCAACTTGTGATCCCCCTATGTTAGTCTCTGGAGTGATCTAAAAATGAGTTTTGAGAGTAAAACTTAATGGTCTGATTATTTGGACAGTTTTTGTGTCCATTCATGATAACTGGGCATAATGGTGCTCTCAGCACTTTATAAGTGTTGAGCTTTGCAGTAAACTAGTCACATCCTTCTTTCTTAACAGATACCTCGGATCTCCATTTCCAAATAAGCAAAGACCGATATGGAGGGCAGCCACTTTTCTCAGAAAAATTTCCTACCCTTTGGTCTGGGGCAAGAAGTACTTATGGAGTAACAAAGGGAAAAGTATGCTTTGAGGCCAAGGTAAGGGACTCTTTAAAATCATTTATTAGTTTAAATTGTGTATTGGACTCCTGGCCGGTATTTTATTAGTTCAGGAAAGGCACCCTGCTTAACATACCCTTAGCTCTGAGCAACATATTGACCCGTATGGCTTTGTTTTGTTGTTTGTTTTTTGTGCTTGGAGTTGAACCCAGGGCCTCATACATGTTAGACACTTTATTTCTGAGCTACATCCCCAGGCCTACAACTTTGGTCTTTGGTTCAGGTTTAATGAAAGTTGTTTTTCTGATATTGAACTGTGATTTTTTTTTCCCCCAGTTTGTATACAAATCTTATCTTTGTAACTCAGACTTTGTACCTGAATTGGTCAAAGTACCTGAGACTTCCTTTCTAACTTGACCAGGTAACACAGAATCTCCCAATGAAAGAAGGCTGCACAGAAGTTTCTCTCCTTAGAGTTGGATGGTCTGTTGATTTTTCCTGTCCACAGCTTGGTAAGGTTATATTTTAGCTTCTTGCTTGTGTTTAACATATTGCTGATTCTGTGGAAACTTTGCAGATAGATATTGATTGTTGTCTATCATAGGTGAAGATGAGTTCTCTTATGGTTTTGATGGAAGAGGACTCAAGGCAGAGAATGGACAGTTTGAGGAATTTGGCCAGACTTTTGGGGAGAATGATGTCATTGGCTGTTTTGCTGTAAGTATTCCTGATAATTGTGGATTTGTAGCAAAGGGTAGATAAAGGCTGAGAGGATTCGGCTATACTCCCTATCTACTGGCTTTTATACATTGGATGCATTGCTTGGTTATTGAGTTGTGCAGTAGCCCCAGTATTCATTTGTTTGCTTATTTCCACATGTATGGGGGGGGGCATATCAAAGTGTGTATGTGAAACTCAGAAGACAGTCTGTCCTTAGACCATGTGAGTTCTAGGGACCAAAGTCTTGTCGTCATGTGCCTTTACCCACTTACACATCTCTCCATTCTCCAGACTTAGAAAAAGGGGAAAGGTAAGCTGTAAGACTCATTTTCCTTAAAACCTGTCATCCTGTAAGTGCTCTTGTGCCTTTGTCCTTGTAGAATTTTGAGACTGAAGAAGTAGAGCTTTCCTTCTCTAAGAATGGAGAAGACCTGGGTGTGGCGTTCCGGATCAGCAAGGAAACTTTGGCAGATCGAGCCCTTCTACCCCATGTCCTCTGTAAGAATTGTGTCATAGAATTAAACTTTGGTCAGAAGGAGGAGCCCTTTTTTCCACCACCAGAAGAGTTTGTGTTCATCCATGTTGTACCTGTTGAGGACCGTGTGCGGACTGCAGTTCCTCCCAAGACCATAGAGGAGTGTGAGGTAAGCTGAATTCCAGAAGTATAGACCTTGTGCGTTAGAATAGTGGAGGATGTGTCCTTTGAGATGTATTGGATAGGGAAAATGTAAGAATGCTTGCTTGCTTTTTTGTTTGTTTACCAAGACAGAGTTTCATCTGTGTATCTGTCTGTCCTGAAACTCACTCTTTAGACTAGTGTAGTCTCAAACTTGTAGAGATCCACCTTTCTCTGCCAAGTGCTGGGATTAAAGGCATCCACCACCACCACTCGGCTAAGAATATTTTCTAAAGAAAGTTGGATTTTATAAAAATAACTTTTTTTTTTATCACATTTCTTTTTTCTTTTTACTTGCAGGTGATTCTGATGGTGGGACTTCCTGGATCTGGAAAGACCCAGTGGGCACTAAAATATGCAAAAGAAAACCCTGAGAAAAGATACAATGTCCTGGGAGCTGAGACTGTGCTCAGTCAAATGAGGGTCAGTTGCTGAGAGATGGGGAGGGATGGTTAGTCAGCTACGATGTTTGCTCTGGTGACGCTGGGCATCTTTGGTAACCCTTTCCTTAGTTGGGAGTGGAGGTGTCTTTGAAGTGTGTGAGTCCAAGGACCCCGCACATAGAAATGTAAATTTCTGTCGTGTGTTAAGATATGGTCCACATCTGCTGGATTGTCAAATTTCTGAAAACTTACAATCTGGAGTATATACAGGTTAAGAATGAAAGTGACTACTACAGGAAATTAACAGTATGAGTAGGTGGTATACTTGTGGCATTTAAAGCAGGTGAACTTGAACTTGCTGTGTAACTCCTTGTATTGCTCCTGTCTTCTTGCACTCATCAGATGAAGGGTCTGGAGGAGCCAGAGATGGACCCCAAGAGCCGAGACCTCTTAGTTCAGCAAGCCTCCCAGTGCCTTAGTAAGCTGGTCCAGATTGCTTCGAGATCAAAGAGGAACTTCATTCTTGATCAGGTATTCAGACATTCAAGAGGAAACTGGTCTTAAAGGAGATCCAGAGATGAAACTTTGCATCTTTTTTTTAAGTCAGACTGGGGTACACATTTGGTTTGAATTAAAAAATAGACTCAGGTCATCTGCTGTGAGTTATGTAATGTACTTAAACTTTTTGTTTTGTTTTTTTTTTTTTTTGTTTTTTTTTTTTTTTTTTTTTTTTTTTTGGTTTTTCGAGACAGGGTTTCTCTGTAGCTTTGGAGGCTGTCCTGTTATGATCTCTAGGCTGGCCTTGAACTCACAGAGATCCTCCTGCCTCTGCTTCCCGAGTGCTGGGATTAAAGGCGTGCGTCACCAACGCCCGGCAGTGTACTTAAACTTATACTCTTTACCTGAGAGTGTGAGGGCAGATGATAGAGGAATAGGAGATTTGGAGTCATTCATTTATTTCATTTATTTCATTTGAATTCCTGAATCTATCATGATATGCCTATGTTTACGATCTTAGACAAGTCTTCTCTAACTTCAGTTTTTCTTATGTGTGAAATAATACTTATCAAGTAGGGTCTCAAACATCAAAGGTGGTGATGATGCACGCCTTTAATGCCAGCAGCACTCAGGAGGCAGAGGCAGGCGAATCTCTATGAGTTCAAGACCATCCTAATCTACAGTTAGTTGCAGGACACCCAGTACAACACAAAGACACCCTGTCTCAAATAAAAGAAAAATCAAAGGAGACTAGAGTTATAGCAGTGGTAGAGCAGTTTTTTTAGCATGTGCAAAGCCCTAGGTTTGATCCTGATTACTACAAAACAACAATGATAATAATAGTGGTTATTAAAGGAAGTTGTGTATTGACTTCTAATATGATGTTTCAGCTGTAGAAGATAAAGTTTTCTTTGGTAAGTTGAATGGTGACTTTTGTTCTTAAACATGTTATTATTCCTATTGCTAGTGTAATGTGTACAACTCTGGCCAACGAAGGAAGTTATTGCTGTTCAAGACCTTCTCCAGGAAAGTGGTGGTAGTTGTCCCTAATGAGGAAGACTGGAAGAAGAGGCTGGAGTTGAGGAAAGAAGTGGAGGGAGATGATGTGCCTGAGTCTATAATGCTGGAGATGAAAGGTGGGCTAAAATTACATGGATTAGAGACTCTTGTCCCTCGTTAGTGCAACCCTACTGGAACCTCTTAGCACCAAGCGGGACTCTCCACGTCTAAAGCCTAAATTTAAGAATATTTTAATGGAGGCAAGCACTTGTGAATAAACTAATTGGTAGAGTGAATAGAGAAACAGGAAACCCATTGACTCATAGATAAAATACAAAATACGTAATAAATATCTGGGCATGGTAGGTAGCACATGCCTATAATCCCCCCAGCACTTGAGAAGCTCAGGAAAGACAATCATGGATTAGGGAGACTAGCCTGGATTACATAATAGGACCATGTCTTGGGTAGGAAGGAAAAACAGTTGAAGGCAGGAGGATAAGGAGTTAGAGGTTAGTCTGAACTAATGATGCTCTTGCAAGATGAACAAGAAATAAGATGTTTAAATCCAAACGAGATGCTTAGAAATGAAGGAAGGAGGTTGAGTCAGATGTCTATTAAATAAGTATTTACAGTGTTTACTGTTTGTCCATCATTTTCCTCGTCATGGGAAAATATCAGCATATGAGATGAAATTTCAGGGTCATAAATAAAATCTTAAAGTTTCTATTCCATAAAAATGACAAGGATGAATGTTAGGGTTCAAACTAAAATACAGTAGTTGTAGAAAATTATCTCTTTACCATGTGTTGATTTCTGGTATGATAATAGTTCTATGTTTTCCTTTTTTTCTTATTTTCTTGATTTGGTATTTGCCTAAGTATACTGTCTTCTCAAGGCAGTGTTAACATGTTGATTGGTCTTGCTTCATGCTAGTCCCTTGGGTCATATTCTTCATCATATTTCTTTCACCTATGCCATCCCACTTACCTCTCAGCTGCTGGCTCTGGAAACCTCTCATGACCCCTGGCTATGGGAATCACTTCTAACATCTATGAGCTGGAGCATCTGAATTTATACAGAATGAATTATGCCAGCCCATACCAGATATTCAGACACTTGGAAGAATTTAATGCAGTTATATAAAATAGAGATAACTAGATTCACCTGAGAATCATAATTGAAATAACACTCACTGGGACACAGTCTATGAACTTGATCTCCATAAAATAACAGATGTACTTGGCTATCAGTATTAGCTGTTAAATGACAGATCTTGCAGTAGAGATGTATAGATTCTTTTAGCATGCGTGCAGGCGCTGGGAATTGAAACCCAGGGCCTTGTATATGCTAGGAAAATGCAGTACCCCTCACCTCAGAGCTTGAAGCTCTGAAAATGTTACTACTTGGCATGGTGGTGCATGCTTTCTTTCTTCCTTTCTTTCTTTCTTTTTTTCAAGACAGGGTTTCTCTGTGACTTTGGAGGCTGTCCTAGAACTAGCTCTTGTAGACCAGGATGGTCTCGAACTCATAGAGATCCTCCTGCGTCTGCCTCCCGAGTGCTGGGACTAAAGGCATGCGCCACCACCACCTGGCTATTTTTATTTCTTTGAATGTTTTCCCTACGTGTGAATGTGTATCAAATGTGTGCATGGTGCCCTTGGATGTCAAAAAGGGGGCATCAGAGCCCCTGAGCTACAGTTAGAGAACTTGTGAGCCACCATGTGGGTGTTGGGAACTGAATCCAGGTTCCCTGCAAGGGCATTGAGATGCTTTTAACTGTCAGGTCATCTTTCCGGCTCCTGAGACCAAGTTTTTATCTAAGCAACTCCAATACTTTCTCAGTTACGTTTAGCCTGTTCCTTCTGTCCTGATAGCTTACTGCTGATTTATTATGGATCACTTGAGAACTTGTAAACCTGTCTTGCATGTAGCCCTTTGTCTTATACTGTTACAATTTAGGGAAAATAAGATTTGCCTTAGGCATGGTAGCACATGTCTAGCACTCAGAAGGCTAAAGCAAGACGATTGCTGTGAGTTCTAGGTCATCCTTGACTATGGGAATTGTAAGCCTGCCTAAACTACATAAGACCATGTCTCAAAAAAGAAGTTAGTTTGATTATCTAAGGGTGAGTTGGTATGAACCTAGCACATTTTAGTGCATTACTAAGTTAAGCTTTGAAAAGTGTTAGGTTTGGCTTGCTGTGGGTGCTCATACCTATTATTCTATCACTTGGGACCTTTAGGCAGGATCTTGCGTTTGAAACTGGCACAGACTGTATAGCAAGACAAAGTCCAGCCTGAGCTTCATAACAAAACTATCTGAAAGGAGAAAAAAAGTAAACTAAAATAAAAAGAGAAGCACAGTAGCAACAACTCTAATTGTAATCCCAGTTTTCAGAAGGCAAGAGGAAGGAAGATTTGGACCAGCCTGGGATATATGAGACCCTATGTGTTTAAAAAAACAAACAAAAAAAAACAAACAAAAAAAAACAGCCAGAGCTAGATGGCTCAGCCCTTAAAGGATGGTGAGCTCTAGATTTTGAGAGGGACCATGTCTCCAAGGAATAAAGTGTGATAGAGAACACCTCACATCCTCCACTAGCCTTCTTACACTTACACATACTCACTCAGACACAGACTATTAACAAAACTGGGCATGTTGGTGCTTGACTTTTATTCCATCAGAGACAGGTAAATCTCTGAGTTCAAGGCCAGTCTGGCCTACATAGTGAGCTCTAGTACAGCCGGGGCTATGTAGAGAGCTCCTGTTTCAGTGTTGACTCATAACTGTAATTCCAGCACTCAAGAGGCAGGAGGCTAAGGTACCTCACCATTGCATTATGAAACTGAAGAGGTGGAGCAGCCTAAGGCTGTTAGAAAACCAACCTTAATTTATCTAGTTTACCATATAAGAATGACCACCAGATATATGATAGACATCCCCAAGGCTATGCAGAAGTTAATTTGGACCCTATGGAAATGTTAGATTTGAGGAGACTTGGGAGAAGCAGGAAAGCAGTACGAACATTGTGTAGATGAGGTAAACAAGCCTTAAGCTATTGGTAGAACTTTCATAATAAGTCTCCATGTAGTGATTTGGGAGCTGGATGGTGGGACAAAGACTGGCTACATAGAACTTGAATCTCAAAATGGGAAAAACAAGCAAACAAACAACCCTTGGATATAGCTCAGAGAGAGAACACTTGATTAGCATTTGCAAAGCCCTAGGTTTGACCCCCAAAGCCACTAAAAACCAAAGTATGTTTCCTATAGTAGATTTTCATGCATTCTTACCTTGTCTACACTTTCCAGGCCCACAAGCTTCTCTCTTATTCTTATAGCCAACTTCTCTCTGCCTGAAAAATGCGATTATATGGATGAGGTGACATATGGGGAGCTGGATAAAGAGGAAGCCCAGCCCATTGTTACTAAATACAAGGAGGAAGCAAGGAAGCTGCTGCCCCCCTCTGAGAAGCGGACAAATCGCCGGAACAACCGCAACAAGAGGAACCGGCAGAACCGAAGCCGAGGCCAAGGCTATGGTGAGTCCTGAGACCAAGCTGCCCACAGTGAGCAGCTTTCCTGATGAAGCTTTGTTTGTTCCTGAGACCTTCACCCCATCCTTCTCATGCTTTCCCCATGATCCTTCAGCTAGAAGAGAGTTACTGTGGGGCAAAAATATATTTCCTTGAAAACACGGTCTTTGTGCCTCATTATATGTGTAGCTTCCATTTGATCCAGTGGTTTCTCCACTTCACTGCAGCCTTAGAATGTGTGCAGTGAAAGCTGATTCTGCCCTTAAGATTTCTTGGTGCTTTATCAAATCAACTCAATTGCACAGACAAAAGTGAATGCATCCTTCTGTCATTTTAGAGCATTATAAAGCAAGTTAGCTATTAGTGGAATTAATTTTCCCTCTGAATGTCTAGTTTGCCAGCTAAGTCCCCAGTGTGTATTTATTGCTCTTCTAAAAAGTATGTGTTTATGTGTATAAAACTGTATATCAACAGGTGGTTAGACACTAGGAATAACAACAGTTCCTAGCCTTGAGTATTGTGTAGATTTTGTTTTCTTTGTGCACATTAAGCGAAGGGTATAGGCTACATGATACCTCAGATCCCTTTCTGGGCTGAGAATCTGGTCCTGTGAATGGTAGTTTTTATCCATGTTTCTAATTCTGCCATGTATCCTTTTGTCATCCAGAATGTTTGGCAGGGTTGGGGAGCTTCACAAGCAGGGTGGCTTTGTTATCTTGTGTCTATTCTTCTGCCCTCCCCTCTCAGACTCTTAATAAAAGATCTTGGCTGGTGCTTTACTTAACATTGTGCAAGCCTGGCCAGAGCAAGCCTCCTCCCATAAAATTGCCTTTGGCTCCAACTTTTTGATTTCCACTCAGATGTGGAGCCAGGACCCCATGCCAGCTGTCTGAGCGCCCTCTCCATTTCTCTTCCAGTGGGCGGGCAGCGCCGAGGCTACGACAACCGGGCCTACGGGCAGCAGTACTGGGGGCAGTCTGGAAACAGAGGGGTGAGTGCAGCTCTCCTTCTGCTCCTCCCTCTGGGCTGTGAAGCCATTCCTATTTACTTGGGGAGCAGAGGGGTCTGGGCTCTTTTCTTAGGGCTTTAGGGTTTTGCCCACTTAATATGTTCATCTGGATGAATTTAACCTGGGAAAAAGTTTACCCTGCTTATAGTGTTAAAATGAAACATATCGCATTCAGTAACGGGAAACTGGGTTGTGCTTCTGGAGACCCATATATCACCACCACTCCTCTCTCTTTCCTCAGGGATACCGTAATTTCTATGATCGATACAGGGGTGACTATGATCGATTCTATGGACGAGATTATGAATACAACAGATACAGAGACTATTACAGACAATACAACCGGGATGTGAGTATTATCTTGGGGTAGATTGAGGGTGAAGGGGACAGGACCAGCTGGATGAGTGTCATGCCTCTTCATCCTCAGCTAGCTCTGGCTCTAAGTGATGGGTTTCCCTCTTTTCTAGTGGCAGAATTACTACTACCACCACCAACAGGACAGAGACCGATACTACAGGAACTACTACGGTTACCAAGGGTATCGGTGAAGCCCCTGCTGTTTTCACCTGTCAGCCATGAAGCTGAGTCTCTGGGGATGCCAGGCACCCCCCAAAACACAACCAAGGAAAACAGGGGCTGTCTCTGGTGGGGCTGAGCTGCTGGGGAGGGGTGGTGGGGGGAATCAAAAAAAAAAAAATTTGCACAGAAAGCAGCACTTAGGGCTGCCTGTTCTGTACCCTGCAGCTGGATAGGAAAAGAACTAAAAATGACACCCTCCAGCATTCTAAGACAACTGGAATGGTAGCCCAGTAAGGGAGAGTATTGTGGGGAGAAGAGGACACCATGGGGAACTCTGTATAGTAGGCAGGAGTAGGGACAGGAGAGGTAGGAGTGGGGACAGAAGGAGTACCTGTGACCAGGGCAGTGAAAATAAATGATTGGCTCTTATCAATCACTCGTACCAACTAACCGTTTGTATTTTCTTTACCAACCTTTCCCTCTTGGGATATCTGGTCTATTAGTCTGGGAGCCCCAAATGTCCCATTGTCCATTTTGTTGTGCCTTTGCTGTCTGCCTAAGGCACGGAGACTGCTAGTTGGGTGGTTCTATTATATAGGATTCCCAGGCCATGGGGACTGTTGGGGACTGCAGATCAGAATAGTTTGTCCTCGTCCATGTTGTACTCAGTGAGTTCCATAAAGTCTGGAGGAGAGTGGGAACACAGCCCTCAGTCTGAAGATGGTGATTTGCCAGGCCCTAGTCTTGGGTCTTCTGAGTTGATAGAGGCAAGAGATCTCTGGAATCATTTGCTAAGATTGTCTGCCTCTTAACGGTGTGAGGGAAAGAATGTTTCTCAGGGTTTCAGCTCACAGAAACGCAGCAAGACGATGTTCACTGCGTTAGGATATGTACATAGGTGAATCCTGTGGTATGGGCTGTCAGGCCCAGGTGCTGAGAATAGCAGCTTACTTTATACAGTATGGGCACTCTGCCCTGCTGGTGGTTTGTTTTTGTTTTGTTTTGTTTTGGTACAGGTAGAGGGTTGCGTAGGAGGGGAGGGGAGGCAGCTCAGTGGGGCTGCAGAAACTTGGGAAGACTGTGAATGTGTGTGTTTGGGGCATGCAGGGGAGCACCTTTTCCCAACTTTTTGAAACAGGATTCCTTCTGGGGTGCTTCCGTGTGAGCCCTAAAGAGGCCTCTCATCAAGAGACTTCATTTGGGATCATTTAGTTTATAAATTTACCGATACCCTCCCAGTTATTGACAGAACAGGTACAGGTTGCTGGGTTCATGAATGTGGGCAGGATATGGCAGTGCTTCAATATTGAGCTTCAATTTAAATCATTATCTTGCTTAGCTAAAACTTACTCAGCAACAGTGTCCTACAGCACTTCCTGGTGAGAAACCCTCTGGGCTGTGCTCCTAGAACATACTTCACTTCCACTTCCTCACCTGAGCAGTTAGTTCTCTTGTTTAAATTTGTGCTGAGACGTGGATCTTCCTGTCCTGATGTCCTTGCTGTGCACTGCTTTTCTGAGTGTTCAGACCCTCACTCTGACTCTGGTCTGTTAAGACTCACCCGTCAGTACAAGGACTCTTTCCAAAGGCTGTAGCAGGGCCTAGGAGATAGCTTGCTCATATTGTGTCTTCTCCATTGCACCTATTCCTTATGGTGCCACAAATGGATCTGTGTGTGGCAGTGGCAGAATGATTGCATGTATGTTTTGTTTTGTTTTTGCTTTTTATTTCAGTTCTTTTAGCATATATAAAAGCAGAAAGTGAATTATACATACAGAATTCTAAACACCTTCCTAAAATGGTCTTAAAATTGGCATGTATCTTCTGTAACTCACTGGCATTATTAAGGGAATTTAAGAAAGATTTGTTTATAATGTCAAGGCCAAAAGGTAAAAACTGGAGCCCAAAGAAATCCCCTTAGGACAAGATTATGTTATAATAGAAAACTTAATTTCCAGAGGCAGATGTTCAATCCTCCAATGAATAACGAACACTGTGGTATGAATTGTGGGTGGGAGGGCCCACAGACAGGGGCATAAACTTAACACTGAAGTTTGGGGCAGTGGATTAGAGAGTATACTTGCTATTGATTTGACAATAGAAAAGTCTTTTTAAAACTGTTTTTCTAGTTGAATGGAGAATGAAACTGCCATACCCTTGTTGGGTGTGTCCAGGAGGTCACTTGCATCAAAGTGGATGTCTACATTTTGTTTCTGTCTTGTGTTTTTATTATGAAATGTTATGGTGGGTGGGGGTGCATTGTGGTAACAGGAGGGATCCCCTGCTTTGTTTTCCTTAGAAGACTTGTTCAGTGTTTTATCAGATGTCTGTTGTAGTTGTAGATGGAAAAGCTTGTGAGAAAAACAAACACCACATGGAGCTTGTAAATGTTTTTGCACAACCTGTAAAACATTATTGGAAGTGGCCAGTAAAAAAAAAAAAAAGAAAGAAAAAAAAAAGGGTTTACCATTTAAAAAAAAATGTAACTGTGTCATGTTTACATCTGTAATTCTTACCCTGTTCTCATTACACCATCCTGGCAACAAATGTAGGCACAGTAGTTCCAGTTTTAGAATAAATAACCATTTGGATTGAATTTTCCTATCTCCTGTGGCTGCACTGATTCGAGTGATCATGGAGGTGTTTAATAATGCATTTTTTAAAATGTTTATTTTGAGACAGAATCTCACTGTAGCCCAGGCTGGACTGGAACTCTAGATCATCCTGCCTTAAACCCCAAAATGTGCATTTATACATGTTCCTCACCACACCCAGCTTATTCACCTATTTTAATTATTGCCGTGTGCACAGGGAATTGATGTCAGGGAGGGGTTCATACAAGAAGGTCAGAGGACAACTCTTTGAAGTCTTAATCCTACCTTTATGTAGGTTCCCAGGATCAGACTCAGATTGCCAAACTTACATGAAATTCTGAGCTGTCTCACCAGCCCCCTCACCATTTTTTTTTTTTTTTTTAAACACTTAGTCCTGGAACTAACTTTGTAGACCAGGCTGTCCTGGAACTCAGTGAGATCCACCTGTCTCTGCCTCCAGAGTGCTGAAATAAAAGGTGTGCACTACCACTGCCAGGTTTTGTTTTTTTTTGTTTTTTTTTTTTTAATGCATAGTTAATAAGATGTACTATGTGCAACCAAGAATAGCTTCTGTGTTATATGACTGCTGTGCCCTTTTTTATAATGCCTTTATTGGGAACCATTTATGCAGGGATCTGTCTACCTAGTGTGTGCTTAGAGAAATACCTTTTATTATTTAAATTTTCTTTATGTGTATGAATGTTTTGCCTGCATCTAAGTCCACACACTACCAGTTTGCAATGCCTTTGGAGGCTATTAGAGGGCATTGGAGCCTCTGGAACTGGAGGGACGCATGGTTCTAAGCTGCCATGGGAGTGCCAGAACTGAATCCTGGTGCTTTGCAAGTAAGCAAATAATCATAACCACTGAGCCATCTCTCTATCCCTCTTATACTAAGATCTGTAGCCATTAGAATAGAAAATTTAACTCTTGGGCTCTGCTAAAATCAGTTGGCTGTTTGCAGTTAAATGAAAGGTTCCATTTATGAAAGCCATTACGTTTATGCACAAATAATTATTACCTTAGAAGAAAAATCTTCATTTTGTAATAAATTCGAAGAATGAAAGTTACAAAAACATCACAATGCTAGTACTGAGCAGACAGGGCTTATTAGTGTTTATGTGCTGCTACAGTAGGCAGCAGACTCATTGCTTCACGTGTATCACTGGGATTTTTTTATTTTGTTTTTTATTATGTATACAGTGTTCTGCCAACATGTTTGTCTACCAGAAGGGGGCACCATGTCTCATTACACATGGTTGTGAACCAGCATGTGGTTGCTGGGAATTGAATTCTGGACCTCTGGAAGAACAGCCAATAAGCTTAACCTGTTGAGCCATCTCCCCAGCCCTTGTTTTGGTCTTTTATAACAGTGTATTACCTATTGTAGCTAGGCTGCTACCACACCAAGCCCACTAGGATTTTTGGGTTTTTTAACCTGTTAATTTTGTCTGTGGGGGCAGACATGTGCCACAGGACATCTGTGAAGATCAGTAGATTTGGGGGAGTTCTTTATTCCTCCATGTAGGTAGGTCCCAAGGATTGAATTCAAGTCATCAGGCTTGCTTCTACCCACTGAACCATCTTTCTGGCACTCATTATTGTGACATTTTTAACTTAAGTGTTACAGCTAATTATAATTAGTGCACAGCTGGGCATGATAGCACTTGCCTTTTGTCCTAAGACTAGATAGTCCAAGGCAGGAGGATTGCTATGAATTCAAAGCCCGTATATACCAGATCAGCCTGGGCTACATAGCTATACTCTGTTTCAAAAAACAAACCAAGAACAGCAGTGTGTCTATTGTGATCCTGATACTTGGGAGTTGGAGGCAGGAAGAGTCACTACCCCTCAGCCTGCTTTTTTTTGAAAGAGTGATGTTTATGCATGTTTTGCCTGTGCACATACATGTATATGCCATGTGTGGGCCTGGTGGCATGCAGAACAAGAAGGCAGTGTTGAATGCTCTTGAACTAGAGTTGAAGTCAATTGTAAGCCACCTTGTGGGTGCTGAGAACTAAACCTGGGTCTAACTAAACTAAACAACAGCTGGTCGTAACCACTGACCCATCTCTTCTAGTCCCATCCCAATTATTTTTAATGGGTATAGCTCACACCTTGTCTGTAGGGCTACCTGCCCTGTTTTCTGCTGAACCAGATATGCACCCATGACTTGAACAGATTTCAAATTGAGTAGGAAAGTAAGCTGGGTTTTTAGGGGGTAAGGGAAGGTGCCAGTTACCCTAATGCCAGTGTTACATCCAGATTGCCTTTGGCTTTTTGCCACATCTTACCTGATTAGATTTTCTTATTACCCTGGCATTTGCCCAACACTGATAGAGTAAGAAAAGGATTTTAGTCTGTAAACCCTGTGTAAATTTAAGCATATACAAATAGAAAACCATTATGTATTAAGTACCTATTGCATACTAGGCATTGTGAACATGCAGGTATTTTAGCAAGGATCCTTCCTGGGGTTAGTGCCAGTAACAAGAAATAAGGATCCTAAAATACTGAAATAAAACTTGTGCGCTGAAAGTATGGTAGGTGTGTGTGCGCAGGCATATTCTGGAAATTCAAAAGACAACTCTTGAGTTCTTCCCACCACTTTGTTGGATCTAGGGATGGAACTCCAGTCATCAGGCCTGCAGTCAGTCACCTTTACCTATTCAGCCATTTGGTCATGACACCAGGAAATCTGCCTGTCACTATCCCTACCCTACTCTGGTTTCTTTATTCCTCTCCCTGTCACCTTGGGAAAGATAAGATTTAGGGAAGATGGGATTTGGGAGTAACGGACTGTCTGAAAACATATAGGTCATTCTGGGCAGCCCAGGACTAATTGCACTGGACTAATTGCCTTCCTACCCAGAAAGATGTGTCCTGGGGTTAGGAGATCTTGATCCATGAAATAAAGATAACTGGAACTGTTAATGGTGGTCCAAGATGCAATAACATCTATATTCGCTCTTCAAGAAAGCTGACATGTACTCTGGGTCTCCTAAACCTGCTCAGGTGCCCAGGAGATGTGTGTGATCTCTAGCCAGGATAAATAAAGGTGCACACCACCACACCAGGCTGTTCTCCTTTTTTGTCTTTGGTTTTTTTTCTGTTTGTTTGTTTTTTTGTTTTAAGATTTTATTTATTATAACAACATTCTGTTTCCATGTATATCTGCACACCAGAAGAGGGCACCAGATCTCATAACGGATGGTTATGAGCCACCATGTGGTTGCTGGGAATTGAACTCAAGACCTTTGGAAGAACAATCAGTGCTCTTAACCTCTGAGCCATCTCTCCAGCCTCTAGTTTTGGTTTTTTGGGTGGGTGTGTGTGTGTTTTGGGGGGGAGGGCATTCTTTGGTTCTTCGAGACTGGGTTTCTGTGTGTAACAACTCTGGCTGTCCTGAAATTCACTTTGTAGACCATGCTGGCCTAGAACAGAGACCTGCCTGCCCCTGCCCCAAGTGCTGGGAAGTGCGCCGCCACCACCTGGCTTGTACTCTTTCTTAATAGACATTCTTTAGTCATTTTGAGGAGAAAGTAAAAAGCTCCAATTCAACAAGAAGATTGGGCTGGGTGGTGGCAGCATAGGCAGGAAAATCTCTGGCTTCGAAGCCGGCCTGGTACACAGAGCTACACACAAAACCTCTGTCTCGAAAAACCAGAAAAAGAAAACAAAAATGTATTGCTTATTTAGCCCTCAGAGAGGCCAAGGAACCATACACCAAGATGAAAGGAGCCACATATTTGTATTATTACGAGTAATCCCTCAAAGGGAACCTCTAGTTGGGAAGATGTAAAAATCAAGATTCTTTTGCAACCTCAATGTGCTGTTTGGGCCCAAATCCTAGTGAACTAGGGTTCCCATGACTTTAAGGCCCCCGGTGCTTGGGCTCTCCGAAGGATGTCGAGTTCCAGATTCTGACTTCGGGAGGGAGGGCAGGGGCAGCCATTTTAGGACCAGAGGATCACGTAAAAGATCTTTGCACACTGGGAACACTGGGGGCCGCCATTTTAAGAGCAGTGCTGTACGGCACCTTGACTCCCCGCGGTGCGGGCACGCACAGGCAGCCGCCATCTTGGCCAGCCACTGCGGGCGCTGCCGTCCGTACGCGCAGAGTCGCCCTGTGTCGCCCCTCCGCTCCTCAGGGCACCTCCACCCGGGGCTGCTGTCTCTGTGCCCGCGGAAACCCACCCTTCCGTCTGCGTAGTTCTTTCTGCTTTGGTTGGGCGCCTGTGTGAATGCTCGCAGCTTCTGTGCGCTCGTTTTAACAACCTCCCCCTGGGGGCGCTCGCGCGCCTCATACCCCGCACTCTCCAGCCCTTACCATGTCTAACCCGCTGGACTGGCCCTGTTCCCTGGATGGCAAGTGTATCGACTAAGGATCCTCTTTCCCAAGAACGCTAACACAGGCGCTGCCCTCTGAGGCTCTGGATGACTTTATTCTTCAAATGCCTTTACCCTTCCAATAGCTCCAGGTGAGACTGAGACAGGCACCCGGGCACCCCCTCTCTATTGCCTGAACGGATCACAGAGGGAATCAGGCAGGATTCGGGCACATTAGCGGGGTCCATCTGGATGGAGTAAAAGGTGCTTGCAGTTGGCCTCAAAGGGTGAGGAGATGGGGCAGACAGACCTGGGGGTAAGGAGGGCTTGTGCTTGAACTAATCTCATGATAGGTAAGGGTAGACGCGCTGCTACAATTTCCTATCTAAGGGCGGGTCTCGGAGGGGGAGGTAAGTTCTGAGGAGAAACAGAACTCTTCAGAGGAGGGCACAGAAGAACTTCTTCTCCCGGAAGGGGTTTTCCGAAGTGGGCACAGGAGTGATGAGGGGGTCCTCACAAGCGTGGGCATCACAGTAAGTCATCAGGTCTGCTGCTGCCTTGGACACCTGGGGCACAGCCAGGAGGAGAAACATTAGCCAGAATTCCTGAAAGGGACTGCAGTTCTCTTCGCCAAACAGGCTGTCTTTTAGTTTCTAGTGCCCTTTGAGACAATCCTTTCCCCCCATCCCACAGTCCTCGGGAACAGCTTTGCTGACAATACCCAGTTTCCTCCTCTGGCCTCAGGGTGTCTAGAAAAGAAGCATCTTTTTTCAGGGGTTTGAAACCCTGCAGCTGAGGCCTGGAGAACTAATGGGAGCCAGGGTCGCACCCACCTTTATCCGGCACAAGCTGGCCTCAATCTTAAGCTGTTCCACCATCTTGCGTGCTTGGCCAATACTCATAGTGCTGTTCACAGGGGTCTCCCCTTTCATCCTGAAGGAAAGACAGACATCTCAGTTCTCTGCTGAAGGACTCAGCGCTTCAACAACCACACAGCTGCGACTGTGCCCAATATATTGTTCCCATATTATCTCCACTCTCCAGTGGCCATCCCATCTCTTTTTCTCAGTGGGGAGAATGGAGGAGAGATAAGAATCTCTCCAAATCCCTGTGTCCCAGTCACCAAACCATGCAAATGGTTTAAGGATTTCCAGTATTGAGCCAAATATGTTTCCAGCAGTGAAAGCCTCAGTCAGAACGAGCCCCACCCTGAAGAAATCACATCAGCCATCTGCCCCATAAGCCCTAACGAGAGAGAAACAGGCTGCTCTGTACTCACCTGAAATGGCAGGCGGCAGCCTGGGATGTAGGGTCAGTGGGGAGGGGGCACCAAACCTGCCTCAGGTAAGTGCCCCACCCTGCAGAGACGTGCAGCTAAAAATATCTGTAGCAGTGACAGCTAATGCAGAGAAGGTCACAAAAATGCGCAGACTGAAGGTCCTTGGGAGGGTGGTCTCAGTTACTGCAGCTCAAGCACTGTCCAGATGGCTGGTACCTGAAGGATGAAGGATGCTAGAAGGAGCTGCTCAGATTCTGGAGCGTACCAACTGCCTGGCCAGTGGGGGAGGTCTGGCTGCTCTTTGCATCCCCTGTGCACACCCCCACTGTTAGTATCTCACTACCTGCCCCTGCCCATTGTAGAAGTCCTTAGTCTGAACTAGAGCCCTCCCCAAAGGACCTGAGGCGGAAGGAAGCAGGCTCCCCTCTTAAGTGGGGTGGTCTGGGCCTGCCTGTGACAGCCCCTGCCGCAGAATCTGTACTGCTGTGGGAGACCCTGCTCATTTGAAAATCTGACATCAGCTGGGCTGCCGCACCCCCCCCCCCAACTCTGACAGAGCACTCAGCACCCGAATCTTCGTTTCTTTCACAGTGACCCTCCCTCCATTCTGCAGATCCAGGAAAATGTGACACTCTACAGGTGATGAGCTTCTAGATCAGCACTTCCTAGCCACAAGTGACTTGAGAGGGGAGATCCAGGGGCCACAGAGGTAACCATCAGGAAGATATCTAAAGAAATGATACAGCAAAGAAGAGAAGCTGGGGGGAAGCAGACATGCAAAGACCAGATGAAAAAAGGATCAGATAAAGAGGAGGTAAGGGAGGTACGGAGCTAGGGCGAATACTATGGACCAGAGGGGCTTCCTGGAGTGGGGAGTAGGGTGGCAAGCGGTGGAGTTGGGGAGACAGGGAATTGATTCGAAATTTTTCATCTGATTTGAATAGACTGCTACTATTCAAAAAGATGTGCACTGGAGGACGCTGTCTAGAAGACGCCTCTAGGTTCAGAGACCTAGTCTCGTTTTTGTAGGGATTCTGAAGTTGGCTGCATCACGCGGGTCACAGAAGGTCGATCATGCAGCATAAAAACTGGACACTGAAAGGAGCTGAAATGCTCCTACGCTTGACTAGCTCGGGGACAGCAAGCCATCTGCGCAACACACAAGATTCGGGCTCAGGCAGGGTGCAAGGTTCTCAGGGCGAATGAGGCCCTTCCCCTCCACTCCCCTTGGACACCTAACAGGCCCAAGGAGCGATGCTGAATGAAAACAGCACCCTTTTCACCACCTCCACTCCACCCACCCCGCCTGCACTGGAACCGTTCTGGGGTGAAAAGGCCGGTGTTGAAGGTTTCGGCGGAGGGCCTCTAGAGGAGGACCAAAGGGACACTGCTGAGTCTCAGCCTGCTCCTGGGACTATCGTGGGTTCTGGATGGGGAGCGCGCTGTCCTTTTGGTGGCTGAACTGGATGAATGATCCGACAGGGACAGTGGAGAGCACAAAACAGGAGCGAGGCATCTCCTATAGGCCCTGCCCCCTGCGCAAGGGCCCCGCCCCTGCACGAGCCCTTCCCCTGCGCTTAACTGGCGATGACAGAAGGGGCGGGGCTTTCTCGGCAGCCGGAACTCCCCTCTCTAGGTTGCTTGGGCAGCCTGGGGCTGGTGAGTTGGGCGCCAGCCTCGCTGCGGTGGCCGGCGTCGTCCACCGCGTTCCCGCAGCAGTGGGCGCCCTCTCCGCGTCGCTCCGCAGGTGGGCCGCAGGGCGCTGTGCGGGGTAGGGATCACACCCTAGGTGAGCGAGCACAGGTCCAGGCGGAGGGGAGAAACTCAGGCGGCTGTTCGACCTTAGGCAAGTCTCTCATCTTGCAATTCCTGGCATTGAGGATCCTTGTCGTCTGCGCTTTGAGAGAGTTTTAAGGTTCTCATTCTGTATACGAATAATGCTGTGAATGTATCAAGGAGTTTTTTTTTTTTTTTCCGGGCTCCGGTGACTGAAGGAAACTCAGTGGATTAAGGTGAAGGAGTAATTGGAGGAGGGATGCTTGTGAAGCAATGACTTTGCTTTGTCCTGTCTCCAGTTCCTCAAAGCCAGTTTCATGAGTTGTCTCTCTCTCAATCTCTCTCTCTCTCTCTCTCTCTCTCTCTCTCCCTCCCTCCCTCCCTCCCCCCTTCTCTCTCTCTTTATTGTCCTCAGCTCCCTGGGGAAAAATAGCTATTTTTTCCCCTCTTTCTCCAGGAACCTCCAGCTGCTCTATCCCATGGCCAAGGGTATCGTCCCTGTGGAAGACCAACCAGGAATTCAAAGCCTGAAGCTGGGGCTAGATCCTCTGCTGTCCCCATCATGGTCAATGACCCACCAATACCTGCCTTCCTGTGGGCCCAGGAAGTAGGCCATGTCTTGGCAGGCCGTGCACGCAGGCTGTTGCTGCAGTTTGGGGTGCTCTTCTGCACCATCCTCCTATTGCTCTGGGTGTCTGTGTTCCTCTATGGCTCTTTCTACTACTCCTACATGCCGACTGTCAGCCACCTCAGCCCTGTGCATTTCCACTACAGGTGAGAAGACTGCTCCGTTAAGGTTGAAAATTACCCCAAGGACTCCTGGATCACCCTCTGTGGAAAACCATTATTGATAGAGGATGAAACCTTACCCCAGGGTGTTAACAGGACTTCTCACCTCACAAGCCAAGGCTGGAGCATGTCTGGGCTGGCAGGGCCATAGAGTTCTAGATCTACCTGTGCTGCTAAATTCTGATTAGAAACCTAGAAAAAGAACCTGGTCACATCTGTAATGCCAGCACTTGGGAGACTGAATTGGGAGGATTATCATGAGTTCCAAGCCAGCCTGGGCTATAGGTTGAGACCTTGTCTCAAAAAGAATTAAAAAAAAAAAAAAACAAAGACTAGAAAAAGAAAATTCACTTTTAGACTCTAGTAATTAACTCTGCTCTGTATAGGTTGCATAAAACCTTTTAAGTCACTGTAGAATTTCCAGCCAACTCAACCCCTTGGGCATCTAAGAATTACCCCGACTTTTAAAAGCACAGGAGGTATTAGGAAATAGCTCCTTTGCCTTTTAGTTTACTGCCACTTACCCACAATGGTCTGCACAGTAACAGGATAACTTACCTCCTAGAACATTCCCCTTTTACTCATGCTGCCAAATTCTCTGTGTGTCCCAACAGTGGCTATAAGACTAGGCAATCAACAGATACAGAAAACAGTTTTAGAATCATCAATTTAAAATCTTTTTTTTTTCCTTGGTTTTTCCAGACAGGGTTTCTCTGTATTGTTTTGGAGGCTATCCTGGAACTCGCTATGTAGACCAGGCTGGCCTCAAACTCACAGAGATCCTCCTGCCTCTGCCTCCCAAGTTCTGGATTAAAGGTGTGTGACACCAACACCCGGCTGGGAACATGATTCTTATACATGTAATTTAAGAAAAGCAGCACTTGGGCTGGAGAGATGGCTCAGAGGTTAAGAGCACTGACTGCTCTTTCAAAGGTCCTGAGTTCAATTCCCAGAAACCACATGGGGAAAGGGAAGGAGGGAGACTAGCCTCTGGAGACAGGAGCAGCAGGAGAGAGGAAACAGGGTGGGAAAGAGGGGGAGAGAGAGAAAGAGAGAAAAGGATGGGAGGTGGGCAGGGCCCTTTTAAAAGGGAACATAGTAGGCAGGCGGTGGTGGTGCACACTTTTAGTCCCAGCACTCGGGAGGCAGAGGCAGGTGGATCTCTGTGAGTTCGAGACCAGCCTGGTCTACAAGAGCTAGTTCCAGACAGCCTCCAAAGCCACAGAGAAACCCTGTCTCGAACCTCCTCCACAAAGAAAGGGAACATAGGGGCTGGAGAGATGGCTCAGAGGCTAAGAGCACTGACTGCTCTTCCAGAGGTCCTAAGTTCAATTCCCAGCA